GCAACGCGTTCATGGTGCGATCCTCAAAGGAAAGGCGTCCGGCAAGCATCACGTACAGTACAACGCCACAGCTCCATATGTCGGCCGACATCCCATTGTAGCCTCGCTCCATCAAAACCTCCGGTGCGACATAGTTGGGCGTCCCACACACTGTCTCAAGCAAAAAGTCCTGCTGCCGGTTGCTGAGGCCAAAATCAGAGATCTTCAGAGTTCCGTTCGCGTCAAGCAACATGTTTTCCGGCTTCAAATCACGGTGGGCAAAACCACGGCTGTGGCAGTAGTGCACCCCAGCGATGAGTTGGTGAAAATAGTGCCTCGCAGTAGACTCATCAAAGCGTTTCGCCTTGACAATCTTATCGAACAGCTCACCACCCGGTACATACTCCAGCACCAGATAATAGTGATTCTCGGATTCCAAAACGTCGCGAAGATCGATGATGTTTTCATGTTTAAGTGATCGCATTACAGCCACCTCCCGCAGCATCTGGTTCTCCATGTGCTCATGCTTTAAACGGGCCTTATCAATGATCTTCACTGCCCATTTTCGACTTTGTGCGTCCGTGCACAGCCGAACCGTGGAGAAGCTGCCGGCACCAATCTTTTTACCAACAATGTACTCGCCTAACTGAGCCGGTGATACCATGTTGGAAGAAGTATTATGTTCTGTCATTTTTCAAAGTAAACTAAAAAGAAAAAATAATAACGTTTTTCTCTTTGGATAATGAATAAGGTAAAAAAAAAATAGCTTCCTTGTTCGTGGTCTCGCTTAAAGGTACAACGTTATCCTTAGTCTAAGAATTTTTTTTGAGTGAGAAAGGAAAACAAAAAAAGGTGAAGAGGGGCAGGCAACCCCAAGATGGGTAGGATGGTAGGAGTGGGTGGTGATATTTAGCAGGTGATGTCGCAGTTGAAAGTCATGTGAAAATAAATTGTGTTAACTGTACACAAACAAATTTGGACTTCTCTTTCATGAAGAACACGATGTTTGCTCACAGCCCATACTGCGATAACAAGTAATGCTTTTTTTTTGTTTTTGTTTTACTACCCCAGGAGAAAGTGATAGTGCCACCAAAGTTTGGATGCATTTACACTACTGTGAGTTGTTTCAAAAATGCCTGAACACTCCGTTGCAGGACAAAAAGAACGACTAACTTTAATAACACTCACACTTGGAGTTAAAAGGTGTTCATGAAGCTATTGCCTCAGCGGCGCTAACTAGCGTCGCCACCCATGCCGCACCCGAGGTATCTACAATCACTGTCTCCGGTGCAATAAGGTAGTTCGTGGTGGTACTGCTCCAAGGACGACAGAGAGAGGCATCAAAAGACGTCTGCTCCATCCCTGAATTCATGCCCTGCTGGTGCAGGAGGACGTTATTAGCTGCCGTGAGAAGAGAACCTGTTTCATGTTTGAGCGTCAGGTGTGATTCTTGAGCCCTGTTTGCATCTCCAACACAATGAAGCACATCACCACTGTCGTCCTCGTGAAAACCCGCAGGCCCGGAACCTGCCCGCAACTCCAAAGGTGAAGAACAGCCATGTGCCTTCCTCGCCAAGGGAGTAGCACCACTTATCAGCGGGGCGTAGAGGTACGCCCGAGTGTCTTCAACGACGTCATCATCTAAAAATGTTAATTTGACGCTGGCAGTGTCTGCCATTTTGAATTCTCGGGCTTTTGCTTCAACACCACGGTGTGGCAGAGCCACAACAATCCCCTCAACTCCCTCTTTTCCTTCTGGGGAGCGTGTGTAGCTTCCCCACGCCTTGTCATAACCTCCCGCATGACTTTTCATTGCTCCCTCCACACCCAACGAAAATGGAGGCATCGATGCCGGGGCATAAGTCATATGGAGTCGAGCTAAATCTGCTGCGCTTTCCCCTCCTGGGCTATCGACAGAATGTAGTTGTTTTATTTCATCTTCCACCCCACCATATTTACCACCATCGCTTTTACTCTTGTGAGCAGCAGGAGCCTGTAAGAATCCATTGATTGGACTTCCGTTTATTCTCCTTTTCCACTCACGCATTAACTCTCGGCGAGAAAGATACGGTGATTGTCCCGTGTTGTAATGGTCAAGGCTTTGACAGCGGCATTGGTCGTTGATAGAAGGATGAACCAAGAAGGGTGGAGCCCAGCGCTGCTCCGCGCCCCGCAGCACAGAAAGAATATATGGATTGCTTACGTGCTCGTCGCTGGCAACGTCGTCTGTTGTGGGAGAAGTAGCAGGGTGCTGATGAAGATGACTACCATTTGCACTAGTGTAAGAACACCAATGCCTTGGCGAGTCGGCACCATTAGAATAAAACGGCAAACGCTTCACTTTCATTTTCTCATCTGTACCCCGAATTCTGGACGCGTCTAGGCACGGTTCACTAAACTCGCAGGGCGATGAACTCAGCACATCACCGCTCCGTTCGGCTATCCTGACGCGATTGCGCGGTGATAGTAAACCACCCTGTCGTCCCGTCGGAGCCATCCCTGCTCCGCGTTTGGTGCCACCACGCGGAAAGTGAGACGTTGAAACGGTAACGCCATCAGGCGGCGCCTGTCGCCTGCAGATACTTTGCGCGTACCGCCGCATTTGCTCCTTTACCGCCTCGTGCGGTGGGGCGTGGTAAATCGATGTCACACGACTCCGGGGAGAAGCAGCAGAGGGAGACTCAGTTACATACCCTGACCGACGTCTGCCGGAATATGACGCTGCCGTCGCTGCACTCGCCAGCTGCTTCCGGGGCGGTGCAAAACTCATGGCCTAAGAAAACCACCAGCAAAAAAAGCCAGCGACCACACCGCACTTTTACTTTCGCCTTTTTTTTGTTTCTTTTTCACGTCTTCCTTCCGCCTCCCCTTTGTGTGATGACGTGAGGAGACAAAGACCGAAACACGCCCACGAGAGAAAAAAAAAAGGGCAGGAGCAGGCATCATGGGCAACAAACACACACCCACACACGGAGACACACGTGCCATGCGGCAGTTGATCCCACCGCCACTGTTCCGCATTGCACTGGCACTGCCACTACGTTCATTTTTTTTAAAAAAAAATTTCTCGCATGTTAGAAAGTAGTTTTATTTTTTAAGAAAAAAATGAAAAAAAAAATGAAACAAATGATGCTGCACCCCCCGTCTGGCACGCCCTGTAAAATGCAAGTCGCGCCTCCGGCAAGAGCCCGTAAGGAATGGACGGAAGAAACCCGAAAAAAGAAGCACTTACGAGTAGGACGGGAATAAGAGAAAACGAGAAAATGAGGCGGAAAGGGGGAAAAAACGGGGGAATTTATTGGAGAACACACACATACAATGAAGAACGCTCCATATCCCCAGACCCCTCACCCTCCTTTCCTCGGTTCTCCATTTTGTCTTGTTAGGAGCATTCCCTCGTTTGGCCACAACTTCGTCTCGCCTAAACCTATTTTCCAACAAACTGCCACACACTCACAACCTTTCATCCCTCACTCTTCGTTCTGTTCACCCATCCCTTTATATCATGGGTTTTGCTACCCGCGGATTTAGTAGATGCGCTGCGGCTTCCCCATCGTGGACTTGATGTACGCCGACTTGAGGTTCTGCCAGTTCTTCTTGAGCAGCGAGACGAGGAAGTTGATCGCCATGACGGTGTTCTGGCGCACCTGGTCCTCCGTCATCTCCACATGCCCGACGCAGGTGCCGAGGCAAAGCACCTTCTTCAGCTGGAACTTCACCGTCGACTGCAGCTCCACCACCTTCTCCGGTAGGCTCTCGCTCATGGCGCAGACGGTGGGGAACTTGCCCATACGATGCATGTGCGGCCCCACGAGACGCGGCACCAGCTTGATGATCGACTCAGAGCAGAGGAATGCGTCGTACTGGTTGCACATCTTCTTCACCAGCTTCTTGTTCTTGTTCAGCTTCTTCAGCTCCTC